AATAATAATAATAATAATAATAATATCTTAGATGCCTTGGATGAAATAAATATTTAAGGCCTCATACAGTTAAAATAAAAGTAGGAATTTCTTCTGAGTAAACATGTATAAGGAGTGCACAGTAGTAGTCTAGTTAAATTCTGCTGTGTCCAGTGTAGCTGGCTAATTAATGAGTTCATCTAGAATTGCAACCTAAAATCATACCATCATAGGATTACCAGATGCATACTCTCCAGGCCAGTGGTCCCCAACCTTTTTGGGACTGCAGACTAGTCGGGGGGGCGGGCTCTATGCGCAGGGGGTGGGGCTTGCACGCATGTGTGACCGAGCGTGTGGGTGGAGATATGTCTCTGCAGCCCAGTTCCAGCACACACACACACACACCTCTTCTCTGAATACTCTAGTTTTGGCTATCTTCCTGATAAACTTAGTCTCAAGGCCAAATACAGTTGTTATCACAGAACAAGGACATTGCTATTCCTGCCTGTTGTAATACTAATTTGCACAAAGAGGATAAAGAGAGTTGCATTTTTAGCCCAAGAAAGAAGGAGAAAAGTGCCAAAACCTGCCAGTTAATCTTTATAAAATGAGAATCTGCACTGCAAAACTGTTCTTATGGAATGGCAATCTTATGCAGCAACTTTTGTTACTTAATATAAAATTGCAGGACATGGTTATATGTAGGATTTTGTTTCTTCTTTTGCCATTTGACTTTTAGACTTCAGCAGAATGATTATGTGTGGCATTCTGGGCTTGCTAGAAGAAACAAATTTAGTGCAGATAGATCTCTTTCAAACAGCCCTCTGAATTTGGTCTCTCAAGGTTATTGCTGCTTAGATAATAGCAGTTCTGCAAACTACTTTGATCCATACCTTCAGAATAGCAGAATTCTTGCCAGATATAAAATTCAGGCAAATAGACCTCTTTATCTTATGTCTTATTGTTAGCTGCCCAGAGTAGACTTTGGTCTAGATGAGCAGGGTATTAATCAAATAAATTAATAAATAAAATTATCTGAAGGACTTCAGAACAAACTTTTAAATTTGTATGATTATTAACAACAAAAACTGTCCATTCTGTATGTCTTTTTATAATACTTGGAAGTTTATCCACTGAGTTTGTGTTTTTAAAAATGAATGTTCATCCCAGAATAATACTAAAATCCGCAAAGATTTCTCTTTTTTCTTGTTGTAAAAGTAGCATAGTACTATTAGGAATTTGAAAGTCATGGTGTTAATTATGCATATAAATACTAGATGGATTTTGAGGGTTCAAGTTTTTAAAAGTCAAGGTATTTTCATTAGACAGGGATATTATGTACATGTCTCATTATCAACCAGTATCTCAGTAGGAGCTAAAATTTCTGCCTGTACTACCTTTGCAGTTTTCTTTCTCTCCTTCAAAGTTTGTGGCTAATTAAATAATATGTGAAGCATTTAGAATTAAAACTTTGAAAGGTCCTCACCCTGTTGCTCTTCCTGCATTAGATGAATAAATGTATCTTAACCACAAGGTTGCTCAATAGGCTGAAGTAAACATTGTAGTAATCTTTCAGCTGAATGAAGAAAGCGATCTGATTCTCATTCTGGAGCAAAAGAACAGTTTTTGGCAAGCCAAGATTTCTGTGAATGAACCACTTCTGCCTAATTCTCAGGGCAGAATTAGATGAAAAGTAACCTCAAGTTGTATTCTACTTTCTCTCATACAATCTTTAGAAATCTATAATCTTTAGGAAAAGAGGATGGTGATGTGATGTTTCTTTGTTTTCCTGCTCGCCTCAGGTGGGAATGGGCAGAATTACAGAACTGAAGTATTTTCTGTTCTCTAACTAGAACAAAAAGCAGAACATACTGCATCAGCTGTTGGGATAAGAAAGGAACATTCTCAACAAGTTTTTTAATAGAGTGGTGAAGAAGTTGCAGTTTTTTGTAGTCACTTTGTCAGGTTTGGGTTTATAATAGCTTATAAAAGTATAACTTCATTACTGAGGTCAACCACGTTTATATACTGTCATATATAAAAAGGGTCATGTATTTGGCATGGTTACCTCATATTTAGGACCATTAAAATGTTTGTGACATTAATTTTGTCATGTGTGAAATCGATGGTCTGTTTAAGTGCTCTTGAGGATGATATTCGGATGAAATACTCCATGTGGAGCCTCTGCTTTACTCTTTATATATCCTTGTTGCAAATCCAGTGAGGATGATATTCGGATGAAATACTCCATTTCTCAATGTGGAGCCTCTGCTTTACTCTTTATATTTCATTGTTGCAAATCCAATGCTACCTGGTGTTGTGGAGTAACAGTTTCACCTTGTCCCTAGGGATAATTTGCAGGTGAAGTGGTTGACTCACATTATTGGGGAAATATTGTATGAGAAACTGCAGGTATCTGTGTAGTGCATAAAATATACTGGTGCTTATATATGTTCTGATCTTGATGGGATCAAAAGTGTGTATGTGGCCATTTAGAATGCTTCCTGATGTGTATTTTTCCTTTGCTCTGTGGACAGGGTATGGTGCTAAAGCCACTCCTTGATGCTAGAGAGACTCCAGAAGGCTAGACTCTGGAAATTCAACTTCCTTATTCTCTGGCCTGTGCTCCTCTGTGGCAAGATGGTCAGTGCTTGTTCAGTATCTTTATATTGTCTTAATAAAAAGGCTTAACTTCTTTTTTGTGGTGCATAGTATAATTGCTTTGTACAGAGAGTAGGTTTTTATATTTCTCTTCAAAGAAGTTAATGGAAAGTTTATGGAAAAGTGAAATATCCTACAAACCGGGGTTTCATTATGTGCTAGAGCAAACGTTTGGTCATGCCGATAATTTGGTTCCCTGAAGCACTACATAATATTTTTAGGCTTCTAACTTGAATGCCCTTGGACTTTAGAATAATTCAGAGTTTAAATTCACTGATCAAGGAAGTGCCTTACTGGGAAAGGCAAAGTTTTGGCTTCCCAAATGTTGCTCAAGTTATCTGTGGATTACATTGATATTGCAACATTAAATACGATGTTTGTATAGAAGGTGCTGGATTGTGTTTAATTACTTGGTTTCCTTAACACTTGGGGGAGCATTGACTTTTGTTATAAGTTCTTTGGGAGATTGAGCAGTTCTTATCACCATTTCTATAAAAGCAGTGCTTGAGTGGCAGCGGCTGCAAACAGATAGTTTGTGAGTAAAGTTGCCTTACGGGACTCTGGAGGAAATGGAGGAGGCGATTTTTAATTTTGGCTTCTGGAGTCCATTTGCCTCAGTTTAACTGTTCAGGAGGTTCAAGGAGAAATATTGAGGACATGAAGAGGTGCTGAGGACTGCAATGGAAAAGGCAAATTGTTGATAACTATAATCTCTGGAGTAGGTGGCTTTGCTATATCCTAGTCCCTAATTCCCGAATCCTCAAACAGGAAGCGAATTTTGGGTCCAACCCAGTAGATGTATATTAAAACACAGCTTTGTTCACTCCGTGATGAGTGATAGCTGTGCAAAATACATTTTCAGCTGTCAATAAGCACTTTGACTGCTCAATTTTTTTAAAACAAAAGAGCTTGTGATTTAAATACTAATAATCCCATACAGAATAATTAAGATTACATGAAATTGTGTTACATAGTGTTTTTGAATAGTATGGTTGCACACAATAATTGCTTCCTGATAAGCGGTGTGGATTCCGAAGTCAATAACAACATTTGTGTTGCTACTGAATTCAACACATGAGAATATTTAGTGAATTCATAGACCTAAGTATTACTTTCTGAAATTGCTAAAGTCTGCCCAATTTTGGTACTTTGACCAGTTGCAGTCCTGGCTAAATAGTTTGAAACCTCTATGGAGAGATTTCTAGATCTTGAAGGGCTCTGATGAGTGCAGATTACTAGGGAACTCTCCGAAATACTTAATTAAATGTCCCAGTCCAGTGGAAGGGTTCTTGAAACTGGTAGGTCCCCACCTCCAAACTACTCCAGTTTCAGAATTGTGCCATATTAACCGAACATCATGTATCTGTTGTACGGACTCACACCTCAGTTATTAGGAGAGCTAGGGAAATACGTGTCTTTATTTCTATAATTGCTGCAAAGTGGGAAGAGAAAAGTGTTATTGGTCTGGCTGCAGTGTTTTTAAACGATTGTACAATAGCTTCTAGCAGGAATGGTTTTCATTCTCACATGTGGAGACACCCAAGATTTCTTTGTGGAACTTGAAGTCATACAGTATTTTTAATGGCAGTGATGACTATATGCAGAATGGCTGCAGTGAATGATCCTACATAAATTACACTGCTCTTTTTGCTTTTTACTCTGACTGCATGGAATGGGATCTTGCTCCTAGTTTTTGCACTGCTTCGGGTAGAGGTCTGACTGAACTTGTGATGTTTCATCCTGAAAACGTTTTATGACTACTTGCAAATTCTGCAAAATAGTCTTATTTGCAGTTTGTTATAAAGCAAGTGGCACGCAGGTGACAATTTCCTTTATAAAGTGTGAAGTACAGTTCTCCAAGTCACAATTGAAGAAATGTTGCAAATTTCTTTTCAGGTCTTTGTTATTTGGTAATGCACGTCTTTTGTTTTCTCAGCAGGTAACATCGAAAGGTGCAAGCTTAAATCCTAATGCAAAAGTATGGCAGGAAAACATGCAAGGGAACTCAGAAGCTGTACCAGCAACTGATGGCACCGAGCAGCCATGGCAGGAGGCAGCAGCTGTGCCTGGAAATTGTACAGAGGGTGAGATATCAAGATTGTGCCTCCAAATGCTAGCATTGGCTTAATCCCTTGCTTAGTTAGGACTGTGGATATACACGTAGTATGTGTTTAAATCCATCAGTAAACAGTGACCAATGTGTCTTGTCCTTGGAAGCAGAGTTAAAATGGTTTTGAATTTTATGGCAAGGAAAGATCATGAATTTTATGCCAAAACAAATGAAAAATAAGACAAAAGATTTGTGGCACCTTAAAGACTAACCTGTATATTTAAATATAGCAGTCTTTAAGGTGTCACGAGATTTTTATCTTCTTTATTTTGTATTTGGTTTTGGCCTGATGTGTCAGCACAATCTTTAAGGTGTCACGAGATTTTTATCTTCTTTATTTTGTATTTGGTTTTGTCCTGATGTGTCAGCACAAACTAAAATGGTTACCACTTCTAAAACTACAGCTACGGAAGGCATTGAATTTTA